ACAGAGGTCAAGTGCACAGGCTGTGAGGACCAACATATTCACCCCCAAGCCCAGCTTTGCCTGCTTTGAGCCTTGGTTCCTCTCCCAGCCATGGGGCTAATCACGGGACCTCACCCACGGGGCTGCCGGGAGGGCCGGCTGAGATCACACAGGCAAATCTCGTCTCCAGCCTGCCCATAACAGGTGCTCAATAAATAGTAGCTTTGTTGGAACACATATTTGGTAGGAGTGTATGGTGGGGAGGGATTGATTTGCCTATGTCTGGAAACCTTTGCCCTTAGGCCTCACCTCTCCCTCCCTTAGCCCGAGGCAGCCTGAGCGCTGCACGTAGGCCCTGCTCACGAGAGGGCTTCCCAGGTATCTCAGGAGCTTGGGAACAATGGCCTGAAGTGCCCACTTGCTTGCCATCATTCCCCCGACACAAAACAAGCTCCTACTCTCCACTAGGCCCTGGGCTAGGGCTGGAGACCCAGAGAGAAAGCAAACCTGTCCACCTGCCTGGAGAGGTTAGCCCAGGTCACATGACCCTCTGCTTCCAGAAAGATGAGAAGTCTTCATCTTGTGGGAAGAAGAGCAAAAGGGCTTCTTCCTCGAGGAAGACGCATTCCCACTCCGGCAGGGACTGCTAGGTGCTGCTGAACTACATTTCCCAGCCTCCCCCGCAATTCAGTGTGGTCACGTGACCGAGCAGTGGTAGGCTGAAGCGATGCATGCCACTTCTGAGCCTGTCCCTGCCCCCCCAACCCCATACACTCCTCAATACTCTTTCCCCCTTTTGCCTGGCAGGAATAAAGATGACACCCAGGGCAACCTCGAGACCCACCTGTTGTAGGCTCAGCCTGAGTCCCAGAAGGACTGAGAGGAGAGGGCTGCTCACCCGGGAGTTTGAGAAGAGCAAGAAGTAGGTGGCAAATGTTTGCCAGGTATTTGTAACATTCTATGGGTTACAGTAGCCAGGGTTACCCTAACTAATGCATCTGCCTTGAAAGCTGATTTTTTTTGGGGGGGGGGTATTATCATGTAGCTTTCCCCCTTCACAACATTAACAGTTGCATTTGGTGCTGTAGCACTAAGTTACCAATGCTACTGTTACAACTTAACTCTGCTTAACTGAACATGATACTCCTGACCAGTACTCTCAGACTGGGATTCATTTGTTCTGTTTCCATTCATTCTTCTTCTTGTTGGCTGGAATTAGATCTTGAACTAGAGTTTTCAGGAAGGTTCTGAAAGAGTTAGGATTCCTGCATGTTTGGGAATGCATTTCTGGGGAAGGCATCTCTGTCCCTTCTCCAACTCTCTGTAGACACTGGCCCACTGTGTGTTGCCGTGGAGAAGCTCAAGACCAGCCTGTGTCACCCAGGGTCCCGGCAGGAACCAGGTGACACACTCAGACTGAGTATTGAAGAGTTTAATAAAGGAATTATTTACAAGTGTGTCGGCAGTTGTAGCTGTCAGAGTCTTGTCCGTAGGCCCCCAGCACCGTCTCCATGACTATGGCTACTACTGCTAACACCTGAGTCCTCTCGCTCCCTCCCTCCCTCTCTCTGGTGCAGGTATTTTCCAGCCATGGGAGCAAGCTTAGCCCATTAGGTTGAACAAAGAGTGCCAGGAAGTTGATGTTCTGGAAGCACTGCCAGAGGGGAGTGAGTAGATGAATCCCCCAGGTTCCTCCCTCCTCAGTTGGGTTAACTCTATGACATTCTCCGTCACCTCCCAGAGGGGCTGAGCCTCAGATGCCCAGTGGGGTGATATACCCGAATTGGCTTCTTTCACTCCCTGTCTTATTTCTGCACTCCCAACCCCCCACCTCCTGAGTGTCCTGTGATCGAGTCTCAAATAAACTACTTGCACTCATATCTTTGTCTCAGGCTCTGCTTCTAACCCAAACAGCAGAATTTTGGGAAAGCAACAAAGGGTGGCACAGTACTTTGAGGGTGGTGACAAAAGGAGCCATAGCCTTCCAAGAAAAGGGCAGTTAGCCAGGCATGGTGGTGCCTGTAGACCCAGCTACTCGGGAGGCTGAGGCAGGAAGATCATTTAAGCCCAGGAGTTTGAGGTTGCTGTGAGCTATGATCATGCCACTGAACTCTAACCCAGAGCAAGACCCTGTCTAAGAGAGAGAGAGAGGAAAGAAAGAAACAGAAAAAGGAAGGACAAAAAACAAGGAAAAAGGAAGAAAAATGAAGGAAGGAAGAAAAAGAAAGCAAAAAGACAGAAAGACAAAAAGGAAGGAAGGAAAAAGAAAAAAGAGAAAGAAAGAAAAAGGAAGGAAGAAAAATAAAATAAAGGAAGAAAAAGAAAGAAAGGAAAAAGAAAGACAAAAAGGAAGGAAGGAAAAAGAAAAAAAGAGAGAGGAAGGAAGGAAGGAAGGACAGACCAGAGAGGGAACGGTATGGACAGGACAGCCGGCAGGACTGCCAGGACCTGTGGCCTTGGTAGAGAGACACAGTCAACCCAGTGACTGTGCAGGGGGAGAGGGAATAAACATTCCTGACCTTTCCCTCCTCTCATCTTCTGATCTCCCGCCAGTGTCCCCTTCAGCCAATCCCAGCCAGAGGGCGAGAGACCCAGGGTCGCTGGGCACAGAGCGGCAGGGCAGCAGGCAGGAGGGTGAACCACCTCCGGGGGCAGACGGAACTGCGGCACCCAGCCCGGCTCTTTCCCTTTGTGTGTGGTCTGTGTGGAAAGCAGAATTTTGGTAGTCTAGGATCTCGGAAGAGGCTTCTCCAGGTGTCAGGATGAAGAAAACTAAGGTGCAGAGGCTGAGGCCAGAGGGAGGTGGGAGCCAGCATTCCTGTTACTCACTGCTGCAGGACAATCTGCCCCCAAAACATAGTGGCTCAACATAACCACTATTTGATTATACAGCACAGTATGGTAGGGCAGGAATGTGGGCTGGGCGTATCTGGGTAACTCTTCTGTGCCACACAGCACTGACTGAAGGCAGGTTTTTGGCTGGCAGCTGGTCTGGAGGGTCAGTTCAGGCCAGGCCTGGTGCAAGAGGAGGAAAATCAGACTCCACTTCGGAATGGGAGGAACTGCACAGAACTTGTGGTCATCTTTAACTGACCAGCAAGCCATCCAGGTTGACTGGCATTTCAGGAACATGCTGGAAGTGGAGGGACTGCAGTCAGAGAGGAACCTGATTCATGACAGAGGCTGGGGAGGTAGTGATAAGGTGCAAAGCGAAGTTTCTAGAGTCAGATTCAAATTCTAACCCCAGCTCTGCCACTTACAACCCCTGAGCCAGGCAGGCTGTCTCTCTGGGGCTCAGTGTCGTCATCTGCAAAAGAAGGACCAACTCTTACTTCACCGGGTGACTGTACACATCTAATCAGACGGTGCTTATAAAGTGCTTCCCAGAGGACCTGGTCCAAGTGTGTCGCAATAAACAGCAACCTTTATTATTTAACCTGAGTAACACCAAGCACCAGGAAAGGATCTTACCAAAAACTCCTCTGGCTTCAACAATGTGTTAGAAGGCTCCATTTGGACCCATCGTCTCCCCCACTCCCACATATAGCTGAGCCCCAAGTCCGGCTGATTTTGCTCTCCTGGTGTAGCTTGAATCTGAGGGTCCCCATGTCCCCCACTGACACCGCCACCTCCTACCCAGACCACCGCAGCTGCCACCTCCCTGGTCTCTGGCCACATGCAATGCCGTCCCTTCATGGCAGGGAGCCCAGGTTTCTCAAACTGCAACACGCACACGAGCTGCTTGGGGGGATCTTGTTAAAACACAGATTCCAGGTCAGAAGGTCTGGGCTGGAGTCTGAGGACCTGCATTTCTAATCAGCTGCCAGGTGACCTTGATCCGGATGATTCCCGGGCCCCACTTTTAGTAGCTGGAGGATATTTTTTTCCAAATAAAACTTGGATTCTGCCTCCTCCACTTAAAACACTTCACTGATTTCCCAGTGCTCTCAGGGAAAGACCAAACCCTCACTGTGTCCCGTAGTCTGGGCAGGAGCCCGTTCCCACCTGACCCTCTATCCCCTTCGTCTTCAATCTCCCTCCCTCTCTTTCCCCCTTATTTATGATCCAATGAAGTGAAACCACCGTGCCACCCCGTACTGGAACATCACCGATAACCTGAAAGCACCTGTATACCCCGCCCCCATCCGCCCGGTTCACCTGAGATAACCATTCTTCTCATATTTGTCTTTCCCTTGCTTTAAAATGTTTTCCACCTATGCATGTGTCTTAACAGGCACATTTTTGGTTTTGCTTTCGTACATTCTAGAAGTTGCACCATAGTGTACGTCACTTTCTGCAACTTTTTCTCACTCAACATTGTTTCTGAGATAGACCTGTTGTCTGAAGTTCAGTCAGTTTCACTGCTGTATAATCTCGCATGGTGTGAATATTCCGGTTTATTGGTGGATGGGCGTTGAGGGGTGTTTCCGATGTTCTTGTCATTACGAACCCCGCTGGCGCGAAGATTTTGTACAGGTCTCCGGCTGCGGCTGGGCAGGTTTCTCAAGGGTGACTACCTAGGAGGGGACTTTCTGTGTTCTCCCACGCCCCCCGTGCTCCGGCCACCCAGGCCTCCTTTCACTCCCAGCTCCCCGAGTCTCCCCGCCAGGGCCGCCCGCTTCCGCGCCCCCGCCCCCGCCCCCTTTCACCGGGCGAACTCCTGCAGGTGCTGCGGGCCACGGCTGGCCTCCCGTTAAAGCTTCCTAATTACACACTCATGTTGTGCGATCCTGCGACGGGCGTCCCTCGAGCCCGGCAGAACGCGGCCCCCCAGGCTCGCGATGGGGCCTGGCGCATCGGAGGCGCCGGGGACGCCTGCAGGTTGCAGGCAGGCCGGGGAGGAGGTAGAGCCCGCGAGGCGGCTCGGACCGCAGCACCCAGGTGCGTCCCATCGCGCGTCCCGGGCCGGAGTCGGCCGGTCGGCAGCGGCCACGAGGGCTCCGGGTCGGGAACTCCAGGAAACTCGCAGCCCGGGCCGCCGGCGGGCGGGGGGCGGGGCGGGAACGGGGTGGGCGGGGCGTGGGCGGGGCGTGGGCGGGGCCCGGCCCGGTTAAGAGGAGCGTGGCGGGCCGCGGCCACCGAGGGCCCCGGGGAGAGCCGACCAGCCGCCAGCCGGGCGGAGACACACCGAGCTTCAGCTGAGCAAGCAGCACCCGGGCGCACGCGGGCACCATGGCCCAGACACCCGCCTTCGACAAGCCCAAAGTGAGCGCGGGCGGGGGCTGCGGGCCGGCCGGCTCCGGGTCTGCCTTGGGGGTCGGGGGGCCCAGGCCTGGGCGTCCGAACCCGGGGCGAACACCGGCTCTTGCAGGCGCTCTCTTCCCTCTGCTCGGGCCTTGGCCCGCCTCCAGGCTGTTCAATGGGGGACAGTGAGGCGGGGAGGGTCCCGATCCCGGAGGCCTCCGGGTTCTGCTTCTGCCCCTGACGGGGCCCCTCCGGGTCTGTTTGTCCATCTGGCAAGTGGGCTTCCTGCACCGCCGGCTGGGGAGCCTAGGCAGGGGCTTGACCTCTCTGAACCCCAGCTGTAAGGTGAGGCCCAGTGTCCAAGCCCGCGGGCACCTGGTGTCGTGCCCCGTGCGTGCGTACTGAGCGCTCGGTGCAGGGAAGTGGCCTTATACTCCAACGTGATGGGGAGCGCCGCGGAGCCCAGGTGCGCGATGAGCTGGTGGGAAGAACTGTGAGACCTGCCAGAAAGGGGAGGGCAGCCAGCATGGCACCCCCTTCCTCACGCAGGGTGCAAAAGGGCTGGGTGGGCCCTGGGACTTGGGCCGTAGCGCCTTCGCTGGGGCCAAGCCCCAGCCGCCGGCCCCAGTCTCTCCGCCCCGCCCCGCAGCCGCTGCGCCTAGGGAGCCGCGGGGTCAGGGAGGGTCAGGGGCTGGGGCCCGCTTGGCCTGCTCGGGACCCGGGGATACTGTCCAGGGAGGGAGGGGGCCCAGGAGTCCGCCACGCCCAGCGAATCGGCCACAAGGGCGTGGGACCGGAGGAGGGGGAGGAGTCAGCTGCGATCAGCCTCAACTTACCCCCTGAGAAATTGGAGTGAGTGGCGATGGCAGACGTCACAAAAGTGCAGAGAAGCGAGTGAGTATGTCTGTGAGAGAGAGAGTGAGAGCCAGCACCCACCTGCCTTCTGAGGCTCCCACCAACCGGAGGTGGGGAGTGCAGGGACCAGCCCTCCCCCACCCCCACCTCCTCCGGTCTTGTCGGGTGCCCATGCCCCACGTTAGTGCCTCTTTCCCTTGACGTCTTTTTTTTTCCTTTGTAGTGCTCTGGGTCCCGCTGCCCTACCCTGAGTGAACCCTAAGCCGTAGGCAAAACCCCTTCGTTGAGAGTGAGATGGAGTTGATGCTTCTACAGCGCTTGCCACATGCACTCCGTTCATCCTTGCAATGCTTTTATAACCGCCCAGCGAGAGAGGGACTGATATTATTAGCCCTAGATTTTGGCCTTGCCCAATCCTCTCAACTGCTTTAAGCCGGCAGGTCCTGTCTCCGCTCTGGGCCTCAGTTTCCACATCTGGGGAATGGGACACCACCTACTTGTGTGGGTGTCTGGAAGCCAAAAGGTGAAGGTTGAGAGTGAAGGTGGGTGCCATGTGCTTGAGGTGTGACGGATCTCATTATTGTAAGGAGGGGACTTGCCTGAGCCGGCAGGAGCAGCTGGGAGGAGTGTGAATCTCGGAGCCACTGTGACCAGAGCCAGCTCCCTGTCTTTCCATGGGTGTGACAGATAATGATTATAATGTCACAGTGTGTTGACTGTTCTGTGCCAGCACATTTTAAACATGTTACCTGCATTCATTCATTTGACCCTGGCAATGACTCTGAGGGTAGCTGCTGTCATCTCTAGTTTATAGATGAAGAAACAGGCACAGAGAGGTTAACTAGGCTCGACATCACACAGCTAGGAAGTGGCCAATTTGGAGGTTGAGCCTAGGGGAGACTGGCTTCAAAGTCACACGCCCCTCGCCATCTTCCCTGCAGAAGCTTTTGGGGATGGGGGTGCCAGTGCCTCAGGTGCAGGCTCCTGGGGACAGGAGCCGCTCCTGTATTTATTAGCCTCTCGTACCTACCACCCTCCGGGGCCGGGACCTGGCCAGCTTGAGGAGGGCAGAGCAGGGCAGTGCTGTTCCAGCTGCATGCAAATCACCTGACCCCTAATGCTCTCTGGTTCCGGAAGCCTGTGGGGGCTTGAGATGCTGCGCTTATCGCTTGTCACGTCCCAGGTGACGCTGGTGCTGCCCATCCACCCACACGCTCAGAGCAGCAAAGCCCTGGCGGCTGCCTACCTGGTCTGATTGTGTCACTCCAGCTAATTCTTCCTAAGCACCGAGGGGGCGGAGGTTGTGGCCCTTATCCGCCTGTGTCCACAGGAGGCCCTGGTGCCATTCTGTGTCCTGGACGGTGGTGCTGATCACAGGCCTATTGTTGTAATAATGGCTGTCCTTCGCGTCGTGTGGGTACCAGGTGCGCCCAGCCATTTAGCTCACAGAATCCTCTGGATGGCTCGACAAGGCAGAAGTCTTTGTCCCCATTTACAGATGGAGAAACTGAGGCTTAGAGAGGTGAAGGGGCTTGCCCAAGGCTACATAAAATCTGAGAGCCTTGAAGCCGCAGACTGGCCCAGGCTGGGACTGTCCCTTCCCGGTGCAGAGGGGGGCTGGGGCTAAATCCCTGATGTGCTTCCGCTCTCTCATGTTTGAACGTTTACTCATCACGAGGTGCTGTTTTGACGTGTGGCATTTAATGCCCTAGAGGTTGGTCTTGTTATCATCTTCAAAACTGAGACTCAGAGGGGAAGGAACTTGCCCAAGTCACACAGCCAGAAAGCAGCAGAGCTAGACCTGAGCCCGGGCCCACCTAAAACTGCAGTCGCTGCTGTTAGCTGCTATGCCAATTTGCGACTTTATATGCACTTTGTGCATATAAAAGTGGGGCAGGATGGAGAGAAGAGTTAGAGTCAGGGTAGCAATGTGGGTGGGCTGGTGCGTTGGCCTTGGGCTTCAGACAGGCTGGAGTTCACTCCTTGCCTCGCCACTTAGTAGCTGTACCTCGTGCAGACAGCCTCAGCTTCCTCCTCTGTGAAATGGGATAATAAAACCAGTGGTATTGTCCTTCCTGGTTCTCCTACGGCACCTGGCTGGCACCAGCAGGGCAGGCCCTGGGGGGGGGGTGCGTTTCCTTCCTGGGGCTGCGGTTGACTCTGGGACGCCTCCCACCTGCAGATCTTTCTCTTTTCTGGTCTTCCTGACACGAGGCCCACCGGTTGCCGTCTTTGGGCTTTCAGTTACAGAGCCACCTGTTAGAACAAAAATACCCCTGGGAGGAGCCTGCCTTGCCCAGTTCGACTCCCGTGGCAGTTGCGGGGAGGGGGACATTGGGTTTCATTGAAGCCTTCGGCCTCACAGGAGAGGAAGCGAGGCTCAAAGGAAGTGGTCTGTGGTCACACAGGGAGGCAGGGAGGCAGGGAGGCCAGACAGCCTCCCGATTCCATGTCCAGCCTCGGGTGGGCTTGGCATGGGGGGGCACAGTGAGCTGTGGGGGACTTGTCCCCCTGCCCAGGTGTCCTCAGGGGGCCCTGTGCTGCCCCCCGGGGTGGAGGAGGGTAGGACTGTGGACCGGCTTTTGACAGGGGGGAAGAGCAGGCTGGGGGTCCCAGAGTGAGGTTCGAACCTACATTTAGCCAAGGTGTTGGGGCTCACCCGTGCTCCTTAGTGTCCTAAGGCCCCAAACCGGGTCCAGGGGGGGAGGGGATAACTGCTGTGCTCTTGGTGACCAGGGGGGTAAATGGCCAAGGAATTTGAACTTGAACACTGGCTGGGGCAAGGCTGCTTGGGTCTGAGTCCTAATCTCCCACTTACCAGCTGGCGGAGCCTGAATAAGTTGCTTGCCTTCACTGTGCCTCAGTTTCCCTCTCTATAATGGGAATTATACCTGTACCCACCTCACAAACACCAAGTGCAGGCCTGGCTCAGAGCAGGCAGCCCAGCGATGCGGCTGTTGGTCAGCGTCATTGCTGCCTGGTTGTTAGTCCTCCAGTTTAGACTCTGCCACCGTGGACCCGGTGCTCGCTATGCAGGGCGCGGGGAGTGCGTTGCAGCAGTAAAGACCCGGCTTTAGAGTCAAACAGCCTCCCGGGTGCTGCTCACTAGTCTGGGACACCCATTAGTCTTTCGTGACCTAAGGCAAGTTCTTGAACTCTCTGAGCCTCGGTCTTACCGCCTGTAAAATGGGGATAGCTGTGCCGTGTTCCTAGGCAGCTGCTCTGAGGGTCCCCCTCCAGGGGAAGACGCACTTGTCTTCTGTGAAACCTCTGGGGAACCTCGTGGCAGCCGCAGAGGACAGAGGACTCGGGCCCTAAGTCAGCAGAGACACTGGGGCACTAGCAGCCTCTTCCCCGCTGTACCTTGCGGTTGCAGAGGCCAGGACAAGGCTGAGCACGGAGGACTCTCTGCAGGAGGGGAGGCTGCTCTGTCTCCTGGCCTCACCCCGAAAGTCAGCCGAGAGGCCCTGGCGGCATGTGGCAGTGACCCCCGGCCCTGCCCAGCTCCCTGCGAAGAGCAGGGTGAGTGAGTGAGTGAGGGAGGGATGGACGGAGGGACTCCTGGCTGGCGGTGGGCACCTGTGGGTCATCTGGGCTCTGGCCTCAGTGCTCAGGTTCTGAGGGCCGATCAGGCAGCCCTGGCCACTGTGCCCCTCTGGGTCCCCTGCCAGGCCCGAGGTGGGGAGCTCAGCCTGTTCCTTGTAGCCCAGTGGCACGGTGTGGTGACACAGACAAGGTCCCTTAGGAAACTACTGCTGGGGGAGATGGATGTGTTAAATACGTGAGCAAAACTAGCAGGAGGGAAACAAAAAGGAGCATGTGTTTGAGGTGGCCCAGGGAGCCCCGGGGGGAAGAAGTCAGGTTGGATTTGCCCGGGGGGTAGGCGGCCCTGCGCACCCTCCGGCGACTGGGAACCCGTGATCTGGGCGTGTCCGAGACCCGGGTCTTCATCCTGGCTCTACTGGTGACACGCTGTCTGACCTTGGGGGAGCGACCCCACCTCCCGGGCCGCATCTGTCCGGCGGGGGTTCTGGAGAGCAAGGACTTGGCACGTCTCTGCGGTGCCCCCACCACGCTCGGGGCGTCGTAAACATTTGCTGGTAGCCGAGGATGCTTCCGGTTCGGATTAGCTCTGGGAGGATTTCCTGCCGTGTGGCCGAGGCTGGGTGGGCTGTGAGGCAGACCGCAGAGGGCGCGTGCAGTGGGAGGGGGCCAGGGAGGGAGCGCAGCCCCTAGGCGGCACCTGAGCATCGGGCAGGTGGACATGGGTCCCAGCCTCAGTCCGCCACCACTGATCTGCGCAACCCTGGGCAGGTCACTGAACCTCTCTGAGCTTAGCGTGGCAGGTCCATTTCCCCATCTGCAACATGGGCTGCTGAGTACGTTGCCTGGGGGTTAAGATTAAATGAGATGATGGGTCTGATAATAGTAGGTAGCTGCTTTTATTATTATCATTATTGGTGTCCGAGGCTAGGCCCGCAGGGGCAGCATGGTACAGCGGTTAGGAGCTCAAGGATCAGACCTGGGTTCACATTCTGACTGCATCACTGACTGTGTCTTTGGATACTTATTTGAGCCTCAGTTTCCTCATCTGTAAAATGGGAGTGAAGTCCCTACCTTACTGGTTACAAGGATGAAATAAGATAATGTGTGGAGGTGGTGTAGCACACAGCAGGCACTCAAAAATTAGAGGCCACTGTGTTCCGTTTCCCCGAATGGGGCCAGGAGAGCGGGGGGGGCCACCCCATTGTCGTCTGAGGTGGGCTGGTAGACATCTCCACGGTGGCTGCGGTTTCTGGGAAGCGCGGCGGCTGCCTTGGAGGTGCTGCCTCTGCCCCCGCTGGAAACCCGTCTGGGCAGCTTCCCAGGCAGCCAGAGGAGGGGTGGGACCTGCAGGCCATGCTGGGCTCTGCCCGCCCCCTCCCGGGGCACTCCCGGCCTGGCCCGCCACCCGAGACCCACCGTCCCGGGACTGCTGTGTGACGAGGCTCCTGCTCACCGAGCACTTGCTGTGTCCCGGGCTGCAGCAGGTACTGCTGTGACAACTTGTTCACCTCCTGTCTGAACTGCCAGGCTGGTGCTCGGTCACAACAGCCAGGAACAGCTTTTTATAGGGAGACTCCGCTATAGCCGCGGTCCCCAGCTCCTGGGCCACGGACCCAGGGCCGGCCTGTGGCCTGTTGGGAACCGGCCACACAGCAGGCGGTGAGCTTCGTCTGCATTTACTCTATACCCACTCCCCCCCAAAAGGGTTGGGGCCCGCTGCCCTAGAGAAAATACCTGGGTGGGAAAACCTACCGGTGGGAAACCCTCCCCCATTACTCTGGCCTCATTCTCGCCACCACCTCCCGGCCCGCCTCTGGTTCAGACACGTGGCACCTGCAGGGCCCCCTGCCCAGAGCCACCGCTGGCTCCTTCCTCCTCCTCCTCCCTGGCTAGCTCCTCCCCTACGTGATCTTTTCTAGATGTGCCGTCTACGTTGCACCCCCACTGTGTGTTTATCTCCCAGCACTTGGTTCCACTGCTTGTCTGTGACTCTGGGTCCAGGAAGGCAGGAGGGTGACACGGTGCTGTGGTAGCCAATACCCCCAGACTGAGGGGCGTACAGCAGCCTAGGCGTGCCTGGCTCTCTTGCTGCTTATCCGTCACGAGTCTGGGCGGGGTGGGGGTGGGGTGGAGGCGTGTTCTGCTCGTGGCTGTCACTCAGGACCTCGGGCAGATGGGGCGATCACCGTCCTGAACAGTGTCGCAGAGTGAAGTGAGAGGTGGGGGCGTCGGCATTGGAATGCTCTAGCCGGAAGTAGCCACGCACACCGCCCCCTCCCCAGCCACAGCAGGGAGACAGGACCAGTGACCCCTCCCTGATCCACAGCCTGACTCTCCTGCTCTCGGAGGCTGGTCCGAGGCGAGGCTGGGTTCTGCCTCTACCTCCCTCCTACCTCCGTACCTTTCGCTCAGCTTCGGCCTCCCCGTGAACACGTAACATCCCTGGGACACCCCTGCCTCCCCCAGCGGCCGCAGCTGCTTGTCACTCCCCTGGGCTGCAGCTTCAGCACTCCCAGTGCTGGGTGTATTTTGAGAACTCTGTAAACATTTGGCCGAGTGGGACTTGAACTCATTTTTCCAGGAACTGCAACAACTAAGTTGACTCCGAGCCTGGGTGTGAGGACTGCTCTGTCCTTCACCAGCTGGGTGACCTCTGGGGAGATCTGATTACTCCGAGTTCCTGCCGGGAGGACTTCTTGTCTCTGTTCCCTGCTGGCTTCCGGTGGGGTGGGCTGGGTTTCCTCTGCAGCCGCGTGTGCCCGAGGACGCCCTTGGGCCTCAGCTCCTCGGCTGCGTCTTTGGACGTAAGAAATGTCCGAGTCTCCAAGTTCCAGAGATGGCCTCCCCTGGTGGAGATGTCAGCTGAGAGTTTTCTGGATCTGTCCCTGGCCGGGGGAAAAGCTCACTTGTCACCTGGAACGGGCAGATGACAAGGTCCCTTCCCCACTGCCCCCCAGCACCTGCTGCGCTGCTCTTAACGGCTCTTGGGACACACCTGGCTGAGAGGCAGGGGCCGTTTTGCTTGGCTCTGCATGTCTGCCCACACCGTCTTTTTAAATCTTTACAGTTCTTGGATGGGGAGGCGTAATAGCCCATTGTTTTTCAGTTGAGGAAACTGAAGCTCAGAGAGGTCAAGTGTCTCGTCTGAGGTCACACAGCCAGAGAAGGGGCAGAGGCAGGAGTCAAGCCAGATGGGCTGTCTCCAAAGCCCCTGCTCTTAAACTTGGCTTTGAGTGCAAAGTGTCAAAAATAGGGCTGAGCTTGCAGGTGATCATCAAGAAGGCCAAGTATCCGGCACCCTTTCCAGAGTACTAGAAAGATCTCGTATTGCCTAATGTCGATTCTTGATAAGCTGTGCTCGACTAGCACCTGCTTTGGCAAGTGGAGCCTTGTGTCTGAAATGCGTTGTGGGCATTCACCAGTGGGGACGCCCAGGGCAATCCTTTTTGTTAAAGCTGGATTTTGTCTCTCGAGTTCACTGGGAGCAGGAGCAGCCCGCGTGGCGGCTCAGACCTAGTCGTTCCCACGGGGCCCTGGCTGTCCTCGCGGGCAAGAGCACGCGCTTCGCAACTGGGCTCGGGTTCGAGCTCTGGCTGTTCTGCCGCTCACTGGCTGTAGTTAAGAACAAAGGCACTGGGGGGTGGGGGAGGCGTTCCTGCTTCCATCACTTGCTGTGTGGTTTTGGACAAGATACTTAACCTCTCTGAACCCTACTGTCATCAGTTGTGAAAGAGTTAACAACCGAACCCACCCCACAGGTGAGGACTGAACAAGGCAGTGTGGGCAAAGAGTGTAGCGCAGTGTATGTGTGAGTGTCCGGTAAATCGTGGCAAATGGTCATCGTGATTAATGCTGATATTAATGCTTTGAGAGAGCCTTCAGGCATTCATAGGTGTCTTCTCCCTCTCTCTCCTTCTCTCCCCCTCCCCCCTCCTTCTCTCCTCCCCTCCCCCCCTTGCAGGTGGAACTGCACGTCCACCTAGATGGAGCCATCAAACCCGAAACCATCTTATACTATGGCAGGTAAGGTAATACTATGGCAGGATGTGGGCAGGGTCCCCAGTGCTGCCCACAGGCCCCTGGAGAACGCCAGGGTCACCGCTGCTCCCCGTATCTCTGTGGGAATCAAGCCAGCCCCCAGCCAGAGGGGTTGTGTGGGGACGTAATTGGAGACCCGTAGCCCAACTCCTGCGCCTTCTGGGCCTCTGACCCTTGTCCTCCTGCCGCCAGGCCGGCCAGGCCAAGGTAGTTCCCAGGGCTGCATCAACCGCTGTGTCCTTTGACTGGGCCAAGAGCCGGGGCAGGTGATGGGCCCACACGGGACGCCAGGTGCTGTCTGCCGAGCACGTCCTAGTGCTGGCCTGGACAAGTGAAGACAGTGGCCCAAGGCCACCCAACGAGCTCACAGTGCAATCAAGAGCTGAGCCTGCGGCTGTCTGACCCCCACTTTACTACAGCATCGTGGCAATGGCCTGCTAGGAGCCGTGGGAAAGCGGCTCAGCCTCCCTGGGCCCAGATCTCTGCGTCTCGCACGTGAGAACACGTGCCTCACGTGTTCCTGCCTCAGCCCTTGTGGGCGAGCTCACTGGGTGAGCCCTCCCAGCGGGGGACGTTCGTGCCCCCCCAGACCTCAAGGGCTCAGAGGAGCCCCTCTCTTGGGACGAGGAGGCCCAGGGGTCTGCATTAGAATGTGGACACCTCGGTTCCTGTCTGCAACCTCGGTCTCTAGGTTGAGGGGAGAGAGCAGGGCCTCCCCCAGAGCCGACCAGGGATGGGCCCTCCTCCCAGCCCAGCCCTCGCGGCCGCAGCGGAAGAACTCGGCCTCTGCCCCCCAGTCTCGAGAAGATCAGCTCTGGGTCCAAACTTGAACTCTCTGCTCCATAGACCAGAGTCCCCTCAGTTGCCCAGAGACCTGGTCCTTAGGCGAGAACTAGGGATGCTTGGGGGTTTGCCCCCAGCCCCCGGGAGCATTTCTTCCGAGGCCCTGAGAGAGTTCTGGTAAGTCCACTTCTCTCCGCCTTGTCACGCTCCCAGCGACCTTTTTCTGCCCCAGGAAGCTGCCGTTGATTTAACTTTCATTCGACTGTGTGATACAAGCACATTGGCATTTCCTACGTGCCAAGCATTTCTTTAAGTGCTTCACCTGGGTTAAGTTATCGAATCCTCACGACAACTTCTGAGATAGGGACTCTGACTGCCCCAACTCACAGATGAGGAAGCTGTGCCGCAGTAGGCAAAATAACCTGCCTCGTAAGCACAGGGCGGTGGTCTGGCCCTGACCTTGCGCCTGCAGGGTAGAGGTTTAGGTGAAGTAAGGCGCTTAAAACGCTTAGCTCAGGGCCTAGCGCAGGTTAAGTGCTCCATAAATGTCACTTAATGATAATGTTATTAATTAGAGCCTAATGGCTCTGGCTAAGTGGAGCGAAGCCTCTTGGCTTATCTCTGCCTGGCCTTTGCCCGCGTTGAGCCACCACTGTTGTCACAGACCCCTAATGAGGTCACTTAGGTGGGGCACCAAGATGGGATCTAATCCAGGTGCTCATTAAGGGGTCATTGGGCGCTCATCAGTGGGGTCAGGAAGGTGACGGCGTCTGGGGCAGGGTGGAGGAAAAGGGAAAGGAGCTGATAGGCATGGGCCGGGCTGGGTTCGTGTGTCCCACGTCACCCCAGGCCCCGGGGAGGGGCTGTGGCGGGCGCCAGCTGGAGTTCGGCCGAGTCAGGCTGGGGGACCTGGGAGCGGGTCACAGTCAGGTACCCGTGCCCGTGAACACAAGCCAGAGGCCGGGTGGGGGCAGGCCGGGAGGGGAGCCGCTGGCCCATGTCACCCCCAGGCCAATGCCGTGGTCCCCTCTGTCTCTGACTTGGGGCTGCCTCAGTTGACTGTTCTCACCTGCTTTCTTACGTGTTTCCGGCACTTCTGCTCCTTCTCTCCCTCTGTCCTCTCTCCTTCATGCCCGGCAGCCCTTTCTCTAAAGGACATTCCGAATCTGGCCGCATTCCCCCTGCACCTCCCCAGTGTGAGACGCCACCTCTCTCACGTGCGCCGTGGCCGCCGCCTCCACTGGTCCTGCAGGCTGTGGTCAGAGCAGGTGTCTTCAAACGTGGTCCCACCGGCTCGTCCGCTGCCGGAAATCCTCCTCCCCCCCCCAGCCCCCGTCCCGCTCAGGGTCAAAGCCAAAGGCCTCATGTGGCCCCTTAAAGTCGTGCAAAGCCCAGCTGACCTCTCTGACCTCTCTACTGCTCCTTGCTTAGTCCACACTGGGTGTTTCCCACACATGCCAGAGAGGCTGGGTAATTTGCCCAAGGTCACACAGCCTTTAAGTAACAGAGCTGGGATTCTAACGCAGGCCGCTGGGCTTTGGAGCCGGCTGTCTTTCCCGTGACATGTAACAGTCTCGTTTGTTCCTCTTCGTACCCCTGCAAAGGCGATATCTGTGTTTTACTGATGAGGGCATCCAGGTCCTCAGAGAGCTCCTGCCCGGAGTAATGTGGTCAATAAAGGCAGGAGATGGCCTCTGACCCCCAAAGCCTGAGCTCATCCTCCCTCCCTGGGCTCCCTGAGGGTGAGCTCTTGGTGGCCATGTTGCCACCAAGCCAGAAGAGGACCCTACGGAGTGGGGACGGGGAGGGGGCAGCTGCTATGGCCGACCAGGGGGCGTCTGGAAGCAGAGCTGGGCTGAGGAGCCCTGGCTTCTGCGAGTGGCTGGGGTTGGCGGGAAGAGCAGGGCCGTGGGAACGACTTTCTAGTTGTCTGAGCAGCTTCCGGGGGCCACATCCCGCCTGCGGGGTGCTGGAGAGGGTCTCCCTGTCTCCTGCCAGGCGGCTGCCTTAGCTCCTGGCTCCTGCTCTGCTTCCCTGGTTTGTTCCCCGTGCAACAGCCGGAGGAGGTTTTAAAAAGATAAATCATGTCATGCCACCGCCCTGCTTAAAATGCTCCAGTGGCTTCCCAGCGCCTCCGGACACAGTCCCAGCCCCTCCCTGGCCGCAGCCCGGCCCCTTCCTCTCTGGCCCACCATCGGGCACTTGCCCTGCTCCCCGTGTGCCCCGCCACTGCCCCAGCATAGGAGCCCCCCACCTGTCCGTCCTCTAACTCTTCTGCTTAAATGTCACCTCCTCAGAGAGGCTGTCCCTGGCTGCCCCATCTCAACCATGTGTTAAAAAAGATCTTTCTTGGTGACCGTTGAGGAGGGAGGCTGGAGAAGAAGAAACCCAGCGGAGAAATATCTAGAAAGCAAAATAATGAGATCTCGGGGACTGGCTATTGGTAGGCAAGGGGGGTGGCGGAGGCCGGGGGAGGCCCCTGCCTCTGGCTTGGGAAGATGGGGGAGCCACGTGGAAATGTGGAACCCGGGCTGGGAGAGCTCTGGGGGAAGGGGAAAGGCGGGCAGACGCAGGGGCCCGCCCTGGTTGCTGCTGTCTGCCCAGGCCCCCAGATGGTGGAGTGTGGACGGGGATCAGAAGTTGTGGACCCAGGTGGAAACCGTGAAAGGAGATGGGTTCGTGGGGCAGGTGCAGAAGAGGCAGGGTCTGAGCGAGCAGGGCCAGCGGGACGAGCCCAGCAGGCAGTGGTGGGGTCCTGGGAGCTGGACGAAGGCCATCGGGAGAGTCACACCCCGCTGGGCCAGGGGCCCAAGGCAAAGGTGGCCGCTGGGTTTGGCAATGTGGGAGCCAGAACCTTAGCCTCACCTCCCTGCCTTCCCACTGGCTCCCAGGATCTCCAGATATAGGGTTTAGCAACTGTACGGGCTCTGCGGGGGGCCACAGTTACAGCCTAATGAGGGTGACTTTGGGGCAGGCTGGCTGGCACTGGGGGCGCTGTGGGCACTGAGCGTCCACACTCTGGGTGCCAGCACTGCATGGGGCGTCCTTTCCCGCGGTGCCGCACAGCCACTGGGCGCTGGTGACGGCCGTGGCGGGCTGACCGGCGGGTGGTGGACGGCAGGGTGACGCCTTGGTGGGACCTACCGGCAATCGCAGGGACTGAGGCCACCAGATGGGGAAGAGGCTTAAGGCATAGATATTTATGTAGGAAAACATTGTAATCACAGAAGCCATTACAGAACTTAGACACTATTTGGTCAAACTTCCATTTGGCAATTTCCTCCTGTCTGTCTTCTGTTCTCGCTCTGTGGACGATTGGATGCTTGGACCACCTACTTTAATCTTCTAATTTTCTTAGCTGTTTGCTCCTAGTTTTTCATCGTCTCGTCTTTTTGTTCTCCTTCCTGGAGGATTTCTTCACTTTCAGCTTTCTCTCCTTTTATTATATCCTATTATATCCTATATTGCTATTATTGCTAATATTATTAGCTATATTATTGCTAATATTATTATATCCTATATTGCTGCCATTATATCCTATGTTGCTGCCATGTCTCCTCACATTTCCGAGAGCCCATTCTTATTATCTGAATGTTCCTTTTCTATAAAGGGATTTTTTTATTTCAAGGATGTAATATCTTCTCTGCTCCTTGAGGGTATTCATTTTGGGGTTTTGGGTTTTTTTTTAAGTTTTTCTTCTGTTCTCTGCATTGTTGCCTCAGAGTGTCTTTTATCTGTTCTCTTGTCCCTCATGGTAGAAGCATTTTTCTTTTAAGACAGGGTCTTACTCTGTCACCCCAGGTAGAGTGCAGTGATGTCATCATAGCTCACAGTAATCCCAAACTCCTGGGCTCAAGTGATCCTCCCACCTCAGCCTCCCGAGTAGCTGAGACTTATAGGTGCCCGCGACCACGTCCAGCTAATTTTTCTATTTTTTTGAGAGATGGGGTCTCACTATTTTACCCAGACTGGCCTTGAACTCCTGGCTTTAAGCCATCCTCCCGCCTCAGCCTCTCAAACTGCTGGGATTACAGCCGTGAGCCACCGCGCCCAGTCAAGAAGCATTTCTTAATCTCTGGGGCTCTTTGGCTGTCCCTCCGATCTCAAAAGTGGGGAAGGCCCGGGGTGGCCCTGTGACGCAGGCAGAGTCAGATGGGAGGAGGTGGCGGCAGGGGCCGTGCAGAAGGGAGCGAGCCCCCTGAGCTCGCACCTGGCTCCCTGCGGCTGGGAGGGGACAGAGATGCTAAGGAGGTCCAGGCAGGGCCCTCGCTGAGCGTTGCCGGGGTCCAGCCCTGCGCAGGGGGTGGGGCGGTGGGGCGAGAGCGCTGAGCCCGGCGGCAGGCTTCCTGGGCCCCACCCGTGGGTCTCCCAGTATGCAGGGCCTGGCAAGCCTCTCTGATGTGCTGGCCAGATGGAGGGCGGACAAGGGACCGACTGGCGCCTGCCCCGCCCGGCCCGGGAATTGTGACGCTGCAGTCACTGCCCCTGATAACCCCTGAGCGGACGTAGGACATGCTGGCTCTGCCGGCTCCTGGGGCTGAGGAGGAAGTCGTGGCCTTGCCCTGGCTCTTTCCCTGTCTGCAGGCATCAGCCCGCCAGGGACATGGATGGGTGTGTGCACGCATACACACGCATGTGCATCCACACCAACAACTTCCACCCACTCCCCCCTTGAGATGCGCTGACTTGTGTCTTGGGGGCGGGGCTGTTGGGAGGATTCTGGTCCTGGCTCCATATGCCCTGGGCCTCGGTTTTCCCATCTGTCTAATGGGAGGAGTTGGATGGAGGGAAGCCTGCGTTTCCTGCTGGGCTCCTTCGAGGAGGCTGTTCCATCCTGGCCTGGGTTGGCCGGCCATCCTCATTCTTTTCGTTTCCAGAAAGAGGGGGATCCCGCTTCCAGCCAACACGGCGGAGGAGCTGCAGAACATCATCGGCATGGACAAGCCGCTCACCCTCCCGGGCTTCCTGGCCAAGTTCGACTACTACATGCCGGCTGTCGCGTGAGTTGCCCCCAGCCCTTGGGCCCTGCGCCAGCGTCGGTCCCTGTGGCTGGCCCCGCCCTGTGCCTCAGCCTGCAGGGCCGGGAATGCGCTTGAAACCTCAGCTCAGCATCGTATAGGCTTGAGTGACTCCCTCCGATGCTTTCAGGCCTTGGTTTTCCCTTGTGAAGTGTGGGTGTGACGGACCAAATCGCTTCTATGGAGAAGTGGCAGATACAGATCCTCGTATCAGACGCTTTCATGCAATAGCTGTGACACTGGGCAAAGTCACCTTCTCTGGGCTTCCGTTTGCAGCTGGCGGGGTGGGCGTGGAGTCCTGGAAGCCCGGGGCTCGGCCTGGGAGGTGCTGGCGCACAGACGCGCACGGCTGCCACCCTGGAGCGCCCGCCGAGGCTCCCCAGAGACACCCCACCACGGCACCCCGCTTAGGGGACCTCCTGTGCGTGCGAGGCACCTTGCGTGGGCTCGCCACCTCCCACGCCACCGCAGAGGCAGCTGCACCTCCCCAGCCGCAGACGGAGCCCCGTCTCCCAGGAGGCCTGCCTGCTTGGCCTTTTGGGGCCTCGGTCCCCTGAGGGTCTGACCTGCCCTGACCTGGCCACCGTTCACAGACGTCAGGGGAAGAGCCCCTCGGCCAGGGGGAACCAGGGCCAGAGAAGGCACGGGTCAGAGGCAGTACAGGGCTTGGGCACACGGGTCTTCTAGCTGCTGGTTCAGGGCTTCGTGTTGGGAGGGGAGAGGAGGCTTACTCTGAGATGGGAAGTGTGGCGTCGGGGAGGCGAGAGAGACAGGGTGGAGTGGGTTCTCGAGGCTCCTTTTTTCCTGTCTTGAGTCGACGAGGAACATTACTGGGTACTGGAAAGGCCCAGAAGCGGAGCTGGGGGTGTCTAGAGAGAAACCTCAACCGTCCTTAAGCCCAAGCCAGTGCCCTGCCCCAGACCCCCCAGCTCAGGGTGTGGGGTTAGCCTTGTCCCAGGAGGCCAGTCACCTGTGGGGGCTGAGGCCCAGGGTCCAGGCGCCCCGCCCCGCCCCACAGGGGACTAGCACCGTCCATCTGCAGCCTCAAGGCACGGGCACTCCCAGGGACGCTCCTCCCGGGAGAGGCCCGATTTCCCCGGGGCAGTGCACCGTCTTCCTACCCCGGCTCTTGGCGCTTGTGTACCTTCCCTCTCGTTCTCGTAACCGTTCCCTTTCACTCTTCAGGGCGGGACTTCCAGCGAGGCTCCCTCCGCTGTCATTTGATCAGCACATTTGTCATTGAGCCTGCAGTGGCCCTTGCGGGTCAATTTGTGCCTTGCTTCCGGAGCCAACGCTCGGTCATAACTAACGTGCCTTGAGCATTGGTCTGCCCCAGGAGCTGGCCTAGGGGAGGGTTATGAAGTGTGACTCGTTCGTCTCCACAAACCCCCACGATGGAGGTGTCAGAGCGGGTGACTCACCCGGGGTTACACAGCAGATAAGTGCGGGAACAAGGGTCCGAGTGCACGGCCGAGCCCCAGGTGTCTCCCCCTTCCAGAGTCCCTCTGGGTCCTCGAATTTCTCTTCCCCGCCGGCCTTACGCCCATCATCAACAAACACCCCGCCCCTGCGTCCTCCGCACTGTCCTGGGCTGAGAGGTAGGGCAGTGACGAGGCAGGTGGAGGGTCCTTGCCTCACGGAGACCACGTGCTGCTAGAAGGAGAGGAAATTGGCTAAGAAGCCATGGGACGTACGGTGTCGAATTGTGATAAGGACCATAGAAAAAGTAAAGCGAGGGGGAGTGGCGGAGGGGACACTTTGTGCCAAGGCAGCTGGGGAGGCCTCTTGGAGGTGGTGAGGCTTGGGAGGGAGGGAGGGAGGCAGCAGGGGACAAGACTGGGGGAGAGCGTGCCACAGGGGGCTGCAGCACCGAGGCTTGACTGTGCTTGGACAGAAAGGAGGCTCTGGTGGCCTCGGAGAGTGAGGAGAAGGAAGGTGCTGGGGAGGCCAGCAGGGCTGGATCGTGCAGGGCCGCGGAGTTGGGATTGCAATGGGGGCTTCGCGGGGAGGAGCGACAAATACACTCTCATAGTCACAGAAGACTGTCCCAGCTGCTGTGCCATGAATGGTTACAGGGCCACGCCTGCAGACAGGGAGGTCAGTTAGAGAGGACGTGGTTCGAGCCAGGGTGGAGGGGCGAGAGTTGGCATGTGGCTTGGAGGTAGAGCTGACAGGACCTGCCGAGTGTTTAGGCCCCTACCCAGCAGATGCCCAGAGCTGGGGCCAAGGGATTGGGGACAAAAAGTGGGTTTGATCTGCCAAGGGTTGGGGACAGCCTTGTTTCCTCCTGGGGCTCCCAAGGGATTTAGGGAAGGTTGTCCCCAACCCCTTCTCTTCCCTTCCCTTCCCAGGGGCTCCCGGGAGGCCATCAAAAGGATTGCCTACGAGTTTGTGGAGATGAAGGCCAAGGAGGGCGTGGTGTATGTGGAGGTGCGCTACAGCCCGCACCTGCTGGCCAACTCCAAGGTGGAGCCTATCCCCTGGAACCAGGCCGAGTGAGTGGGGCCCTGGTAGGGGGTACGGTGAGGTGTGGCTGGGCGGCCCCACCTTGAGACCAGAGGGGTGGACTGTTGGGAGTCGCTGGCCCAAGCAAGACCATGGTCTTGCCCCCGATCTGATCTGTGGCCTCAGAAACAGGGGTTTACTTCCACCATGAGACGAGGCTGCCGTCCGTCACCTTGCATGCGGTTCTGTTTTTACCTTGGGCAAAAGTGTTTAGCTGTCTTGCAGCCCATAGCTGCAGACATAGTTCTGCTGCCCAGGGATGTTAACCTGCTTCGCTGGTGACTCAGGGTCCTGCTCTAACCTCGTAACTGAAGTGAGTCTGACCCATCCTCACCCCCTTGCCTGGACCCCCACAGATCTCTAAGCAGCATCACAAAACCACCCTCTCCCGCCTTCGGAGCCACAATTCTGACACCCATGGCAAGGCTCGAGCTTAGCACTGCTGTCCACCTGGGGTGGGGAGGGCTGTGTCTGACACCACCCACCTCCCACGGGGATCCAGAGGCTCTAAGGAAGCTGGAGGGGGTGCTGCGCCCGGGTTTGCCTGCAGTCCTCCCAAACACTCCTCCTCCTCCTCTGTGCCAGCCCCAGGGCTGCCCTTCCGGCCTTCCCTTCGCCTCAGGCCTGCCCCTGCTCCTCTCCCCACACAGAGGGGACCTCACCCCGGACGAGGTGGTGGCCCTAGTGGGCCAGGGCCTGCAGGAAGGGGAGCGAGACTTCGGGGTCAAGGCGCGGTCCATCCTGTGCTGCATGCGCCACCAGCCCAGTGAGTAGGATCCCCGCCCTGCCCGAGCCGCCCACTCGACCCCGGCCCCCACCTCCTGGCCCGGCAGTGGGGGTGCACCTCGTCTGCCCTGCACGCCTGACCCACGGTGTCCCCTTGAGCCCACGAGCAGGAACTTGGTGCTTCCTGAAGCCATGGAGGCCTCCTAGGCAGACTCAGAACTTCCTGGTGACATACTTTCTCCCCAGGGAGACCAGGCCTTGACAGCCACATGGCCTGCAGGTAGCTCAAAGCCAAAGGAGCTTAGACAATTGGGGGGAAAAAATCTAAGCTAGCTCTGATCAGCCCACAGTCCTCTCTTGATAACCTGTGGGCCAGGCCTTGTCCTGCCTGGGCCACCGACCCCATGAACAGATCTGATTTTCAGGATTTCTAAGGGGTCTCCCTTGTCACGGATGCTGATCAAATCTCTAGGGCAGGAGCTTCATGGGCAGAGCCCCACTGTGTGGCCCAGCGGGTCATAGCACCTCTCTAGGCCTCAGTTATGTGCTGTCACACGGAGACGGTCGCACGTACTGCCTTCCTCCACCCTAAGGGTCAGCGAGAGCCAGAGCCAGGGGTTAATGCCAACCTACAGACCTACTTGCAGAGCGCCTGGCCTGCGCTTTCTCGAGCCCTCGCGGCAGCCTGGGGAGTAGCACTACCGTTGTTTATTCCCATTTGACAGATGAGGAAATTGAGGCAGAGAGGTGTGAAGCCTCTCGCTCCTCAATCAAGGAGGTACAAAGTCTTAATTTGGACCCAGAGCCCTCTCATTCCAAAGCCTGAGCATGTGCATTCTGCTTCGAATACTTCGTGGTAACTTTACTGGTTAAGATGACACGATGCGCTAGCAACACGCTCGGTAGGGGTGTGGGCTGGACTGCGGGTTCAGCGTTAGACGGTGTGCCCTCCCCTCCACCTCTTCATGCGCCAAGTGGGGTGAGCCCACCTTGAGGGCGGCTGTGGGCACCATGCGACAGAATAGCCCATTTGTCATTTACTGAGCTCAGGCCCTGTCCTTGGCGCTTTACACACAAGGCTCAGCAGAGCCTTGCCACACCCTGTGTGGTAGCTGGTAGTGCCCCCCCCCCGGGGAAGGAGGGAAACTGAGGCACTGTGCAGCACAGTTTGCTGAGGGCCATGTGGTTGGGACGTGGCAGTTGGGGTTTGAGCATGGGGCACTGGGCCCTGCCTCATGCTGGCCTTGGGCAGGGTTGGGGGCGGGGGCAGGACCGGGAGCAGGAGGCTGGGAGGTCTCTCCGCTGCTGCTGACAGAGCCCGGCGGGAGTGTCGCCCACAGACTGGTCCCTCGAGGTGGCGGAGCTGTGCAAGAAGTACCGGCAGCACACCGTGGTGGCCATCGACCTGGCGGGAGACGAGACCCTCCAAGGAAGCAGCCTGTATCCCGGCCACGTGCAGGCCTACGAGGTGGGCCCTGGGCCAGCTTGTCTCCTGCCCACAGTCGGGAGAAGCCACACAAACCCGGAGCGTGGCGCTCCTGAGTTCCCGAGTGTGCCTTGGTTGGGTCTGGGGCTAGGAACTGGGCGTGAAGACCCCTGGGTGTTGGGAGTCCCGAGATTGAACCCGCTTCTGTCTATGATTTGCTGTGTAGCCTCGGGCGAGTTTCCTCTGTTGAGACGACTGGGTTGGAGGAGACATCCCAAAGGTCCCTTCCACCTAACGATGAATGTCCTTCCTGTGCAAGGGGCGTGGCGTGGTGGTTAAGGGCACATGCTCTGGAGTCCCACTGCCCGGTTCAGAGCTTGGCTCTGTGCTTCCTGTTTGACCTTGGTCATGTCACCTAACTTTCCTGAGCTCCCCTCCTATAGGACGGGTGGGATGATGGTTGTGAATATCAGGTAATGCGAAGAATCATCCCATATGGTGCTGGCTAATACACGTAGCTACCGCTTAGGCGATGGTGGGCTGGGGGAGACCAGACTTCTCCAGTTGCTGACATGGGCCATCCTGCCTGGGGTGGTCCAAGCCCACGGCGTGGCGAAGGCAGGGCTACTGGGCCTCCTGAGGCCGCACATGACCTGGCTCTCGCCCCTCCAGGAGGCCGTGAGGAGCGGCATTCACCGCACCGTCCACGCCGGAGAGGTGGGCTCGGCTGAAGTGGTGAAAGAGGTGAGGAGCTGGGCTGGCCTCGGGGCCTCCTTGCCCGCCTCCCCCCTGCCCCACACTTGGCTCCACTCTGCTTCTCTGCAGGCTGTGGACGTGCTCAAGACAGAGCGGCTGGGACACGGCTACCACACCCTGGAAGACAAGGCTCTTTACGACAGGCTGCGGCAGGAAAACATGCACTTTGAGGTGAGGGGCCAGAGAGTAAGGAGGAGCCTCCCCGGCTGTCCTCCCCCTCCTGGACAGAGAGGTAGAAGGCCAGGCGGGTCCCAGGAGCTGAAGGGGCAGGTGAGCCAGGACGGGAGTGGACAGTGGGCAGCAAAGCCGCTAAATGCTGGAGGGGGATGAGAATGCCAAGCTCGTGGGATCCAGCAATGGGGGGTGCCCCATGGAGGGGTCAGCATGGCCTGGAGCTGTCCCTGCCAGCCTCACACCTGCTCTTCCAGGTCTGTCCCTGGTCCAGCTACCTCACTGGTGCCTGGAAGCCAGAAACGGAGCATGCAGTCGTTCGGTGAGCTCTGGTCCCCTGTGCCCGTTCAATTTTGTTCCAGGAAGACCAAGGATGGGAAGGAAACGTAGGGACCAGGCACCAGCATATGCCCAGTCTCTTAGATATGAAATCTCTTTGACTCCTTGGGAAGCAGGCATGGCTGTCCTCATCTTACAAATGAGGGATCGAAGCTCAGACGTGCTGTAATTCCACCAAGGTCATCCAGCTGCTAACTAGCAGAGCTCGGGGCCCTGCAGCTCATTCAGCTACAGCACAATGCCCTGCTCCCCCGAGGGAAGCTTCCATACTCCCAGTTCTCCCAATTCTGCCTCCTGGGCATCACATCAGGAAGCATGAGTCCCTGCTGCCTGCACGTTCTCTGCTCCTGCCACCTGGCCCTTGGGACCTCTTGGCACCTCTGGGCATTGCTCTGAGCATCTTCTTAAAAGCTTTCCCCTGGGCCTGTCCCTCCCTACCCTGCTCCCAGCCCGCAGCCTAACCAGGGCCAAGGCCCTTCTGTCCTGTGACCGAGCCCTGGGAGTGGCATGAGGTCTCAGGCAGGTAGAGCCGCCTTCCCCTGACGCAAGATAAGGACAGCAGGAACTCAGGGTGACCATGGTCAGGCCAGCGCTGGTCTGTCTGCCAAGCTCATGAGAAGGGACGGAGCTTGGGCTGATGTTCTGGTGCCTTAGGAACATACAGTATGTGGGTACACAGCCTGTGGGCTGGAGGAAGTCAAGAGTGAGTCATCTGCACAGATCTGGTGGCTGAAGTAGAAGTGATGGCCCCAGGAGATGGTGGAGCAAGAGGGCCTAGGATAGAACCCTGAAGGACAGTGACATTTAAGGGACAGGCAAAAGAGACAAGTAGGAGGAAAGGCAAAAGTATGGTGTCAGAGAAATCTGGGGAAAGGGTTTCAAGAACAGGCTACAGTACCAAATTCTGCTACACAAGTCAATTAAGGTAAGAGCTAAGAAAGATCCACCAGATTTAACAAGATGGTGTCAGGGATTGTGCTAAGAACAGTTTCCATGGTGTGTTGGAATAGCCAGATCCCGTGGGACTGAGGACGATGGGGGCAGGATGGAGAGGGGAGGGCTCCTTGGCCTCCCCAAGCTCCCATTCTGTCACGCCAGGCCTCTCTGCTGCCATAGCCCAGCTCTGGACTGGCAGGGTGGGCTTGAGTCTGCAGTTGCTACTTGCGTGGCCTTGGACAAGTCACCCCAGGGCTGTGTACTTTGTTTCTTCCTCTGTGCAAGGATCAGGTCTACGGTTGCCATGAGGATCAAAGGAGGGTGAAGGTCAGTGTGTGCTGACTTTATGAAAGAGTAAAAGGAGGCTCCCTCTTGCCCCCTCCTCCTGATCCAGGTTCAAAAATGACCAGGCTAACTACTCGCTCAACACAGATGACCCGCTCATCTTCAAGTCCACCCTGAACACTGATTACCAGATGACCAAACAGGACATGGGCTTTACTGAAGAGGAGTTTAAGAGGCTGGTGAGTGGGTATTGATTGGCCTTGACCCTTGGGCCTGGGAGTGTGAGGCGTGCAGGGCCTGTCCAGGGCCTGGTGCCTCGGAGGTGAGTGAGTGCCTACACAGTCCAAGACAAGCCAGACCTAGGGTCGGGTGTTGTCCACAGAGAAGATATCTTTGTGCTGAGGTTTTGACCTAGGACCGGGTTTTTTATCCTTTGCTTGGGTTAAGTGCCGTTAAAGAATCCGGTGAAATCTGTCGACCCTTCCCCAGAAAGGTGTGGCCAGCTATGAAATTCCATACAAACGCTCCAGGCTGTTCCTAGGCTGTGTGAGTCAGCTTGTGTAGGGTGGCATCTCTCTGGTCTCCCACTTGCCACCCTGCCTCTCCAAGGTTTCTCCAACTTCTCACATCCCTGTGTCATGTAATGCCACATTAAGAACCCAGAACCTCATGGTCTCTACTCTGGCACTAGCTGCCATGTGACCTTGGACAAGTCTCCCCTCCCTCAGCTTACCTGCCCATGTTCAACAAAGAGGATAGATTGCCACTAGATTGCCAAGGGCTCCCTGCCTTGCTCTCTGGTTCCATGTTGTCTGCCATCCTGGCCCTTCCAGAACATTAATGCAGCAAAGTCCAGCTTCCTCCCAGAAGATGAGAAGACAGAACTTGTCAACCTGCTCTATAAAGCCTATGGGATGCCACCTTCAGCTGCTGCAGGTATGTTGTTGTCTGGGTTTCTGGGCTGTTGCCATGCCCTGGCTCCAGCCTGGCTTTCTGTGGGACTTCTAGTAAAATGCCCCTCCTCTCTTGGGCAACACCTTGAATATGTGATGACTCCTTGGTTAGTGGGCCCCGGCTGGGAGCAGCCTCTTGTCAGATTGGCTCATTTTCTATATAACTGCTATCTTGAGAGGGTGGTCTAAGGGAAAGACTTGCTCAAGTCCCAAAGGTCTGGGCAGTTTGGGGCATCTCCATGGCTGCCGCAAAGCCAAAGGCAGGGAGTGTAGGGCCCAGGTCTGTTTGCCCCTTTCTTCCTGGGTGGCCTTGGCAAGGCATCCCCTTGCTCTAAGCCTCGGTCTTGCCACCTGTAGAAAGAAGGTCCTTTCTGGTTCTGGTGGTCTGTGATTTTTACAACATCCTGGGTACTGTGACTTTCCTGATTTTTCTGCTTCTCTGACCTGACAAGCAGAGAGGCAGCACCCCTGAAGATGCCATGGCCACCTCTCCGAGCCCTTACCCTGTGGAGTCTTCGCAACTCTGTGGGGTCAAGCAACACTTGCATTTATTCCTTCCAAGAAGACTATGATTTCGATAGTCAGCTACTACTGCTCTTGAAGCCCATGTGCCTGTTTCTGTACACACATATACCTCGGCATGGCCACATCTCTCCTCTGATTATGTGCCCTTCTCAGGGACCAGGGCCCATGCTGGAGGGCGTGGCTGAATCTGAAACCCTCCTTCTATGGCAACTTGTACTGAAAATGTGGTGCTTAATAAAGAAGCCCATGGCTGGTGTCATGCAGCAGGTGGCGTGTGGTGCTGTGGTCTCGGGCGGGCTGAGACCTGGGGCTCCTAGACGCGGCCAGCCTGCTCAGCAGCAGGGTCCAGGGAGCCCAGTGGAGGCTGTGAATGGGAACCCCTTGCTAAGAGGGACCCATAGCCTGTCCTCCCTCTGAAAGAAATAAGGCTTCTCTTGAACAGTTGTCGCTCAAATGTTCCTCGAACTCTGAGCCCCGCCTACTCTGAATCTTAACCACTTCGGTACCAGCGTCGACTATAGTCGATAGCCACAGATGAATGCGCACAGCTGAGCGTCGACTTTAGCCGACAGCCATGATATGACTTTTCTAATTTTTCATTTATCAAAATAAAATTGTGAACATTTAAAAATAACGTAATGAAAACATATATGCATATGTTACCTATTCTGATTTACATTACAAGTAAAGCTGCCTGTAAAGTAAAACAAGCTTTCAGTGCTTTAAAGCTTTCCTCATCACACAAGAGCAAAATGGTGATTCGTCGTCAATGCACAGCACAGACTATCGTGCCGACTGTGAGTGCCGGCTGTGGGCAAGGTTTCTCGGCCGGTGAGCGCCGTACCGAAGTGGTTAAGAGGAGACGCTCCTTTTGGGTTCTTGAAGCTGTGGGCCAGGGTGAGATGGAAAAGGACTCATCAGACACTGGGGCCTAGGAGAGGTCCCAGCCTCTGCGGAATCCTGCATCTTCTCAGTGTCTCTTCCTGTGCAGCCTGGAGCAAGTCCAGCTCCATGTGGACTTGGAGAAAATAAGGCCCAATCCCTGTTCTTGCTCTTTGTAGGAGAAATAAACCAGTCACACAGATCATCAGCATTTATTTCCTGGGTCGTAGGTGTCACTTATCTTGGTAGAAAGGGCAAAGAGTTGGTCAGATAGTTTTGAGCCAAAATCCCTTCCTTAAAAATGGATCTGTGAAGCTCCATGAGGGAACCTCAGAGCTGCCTAGATAGATGGTGAGAGTTCAGCTTAAAATGGCTTAAAAAAAAAAAAAGTAAATTGTCAACTCTCTCCTCTGCTGAAAAAAGGTTTAAAATTTTTAAAAAGTTTTAAAAGTGTTTTTTAAAAAAGGGGTAAGAAGGTCTTGACCCAGAAGGTTGTGGTTGGAGAGGAGGGGTCGGTGTAGAGACATGGTCCCCGCCCAGGCCGCTGACAAAAGGAGTGTTCCTGCATGGGCCGCTCACCCTGCAGGCAGGGCCCAGCCTGAGTCTCGGCGCCAGCTGAATAAATAACATCCTGTGGCTACAGTGTCTTGAAGGTGTACCTGTGCCTGGCGAGAAGGTGGTGGGAGTGTGGAGCCTGTGGGGTGGGCAGAGGAATTACCCAGAGTGGGGGCCTCTGGGGGCCCTCTCAGTCTGGCCTGGCTTGCCTGGGACATGGTGGGGCTCAGAGAAGAGGCTGCCAGGCCAGTACCAGGGTTCCCCTCCCAGGAGAGGACAGCAGGTCTCTCTTCCAGCCTCCCTGGACAAGGTTGGACTCAAGACGAGGTGGCGCCATCGCTGCTCTGGGGCTGGTTGCTAGCCTCCTTGTCTGCAGTGCTTGCCTCGGCCTGTCCTTCTGGAAGGGAGAGAAAGAGCAGCAGGTATTTCTTGGGCACATACACAAATATAAAGCACAGAAGCGGGGTAGGGGGGGCCCGGCCAAATTGGTACCATCAAATAAGCCCTGGGGAGCAGCAGGACTGGAGCTGGATTAGGAGTGGTGGTGGCCAACGGGAACTTTAGCCTGGACTGCAATATCTTAATTTTTACAGTGGAGATATATGTGGTGTTACTAGTATAATTAAAAGTCAATTAAAGGGCCAGGTATGGTGGCTCACACCGGTAATCCTAGCACTTTGGGAGGCTGAGGCAGGAGGATTGCTTGAACCCAGGAGTTTGAGACCAGCCTGGGCAATAGCGAGACCTTGTCTCTATAAAAAATAGAAAAAAATTAGCCAGGCATGGTGGTGCGCCTTTAGTCCCAGCTACTCAGGAAGCTAAGGCAGGAAGATTGCTTGAGCCCAGGAGTTTGTGGCTGCAGTAGCTGTGATCACACCACTGCACACCACCCCAGGCAACAGAGTGAGAGTCTGTCTCAAAAGTCAAAGGCAAGGATTGTGGATGGGCGCTAAAAGCATCACGTGAAGAGCTGTTGAAGGTATGTTTATGCAGGATCACCAGAGGGAGAGGGCAAATGTTAAGTCCCAGGGTGCCACAGGTGCTCAGCAATGGGTAGCTGTACTTAAAGGGCACAGAACCAGGCCAGCTCAGGGGGTGCCAGGGTGTGGCCTGTGGGTGACCACAGCAATCCTGGAGAGGCGGGTGTTGTGCAGAGCCTGAGCCAGCGTGCTGCCACCCCTCCCCAACCCTATCCTGCTGGAACCCCCACCAGGGTGAGGAGGAGCGACTTGTCCAGTGAGTCGGGTACAAGCTGGGTCTCCTGTGGCCCAGCTTCTCTCAAGCCCCACTGTGGAAAGTGGAACAGGCAGGCCCTGTCACCCACTGGTCCGGCAGTGTCAAGCGTGTACCCCGCCCACCCCTCCCAGTCTCTGTTAATTAGGCACCTTCCCATGAGTGCCCCAAAGGGGCCTGGCATGTGGGCAGAGCTCCATCAGGGGTGCAGTTCTTCAACCTCAGCAACACTGCAATGTCACCAGGTGCCATACAAGCTCACCAAGGGCCCGACTTCAAATCCAGCCCTCACCAGAGCACACCTTTGCATCCTTCATGCCACAACTGAGGAAAACCATACCCTGTACCAGCCCCCAGGGTGTGCCGACTGCTGGGGGCACTTTTTCATGCAATCCACACAGCAACCTGAAGGTGTCATTAGGGTCATGATACACAAAAGAAAATAGAGGCTCAGAGGTGTGGATGTTTTGCCTGAGATCAAGTGGTGGAGAGAGCAAGAGAGCTCTGCCTGCCACCAAGGCTCGTACCCCTTCCACTAAACCTAACCTCTTCCGATAAGACTGCTCAAGGGTTTCAAAAGGCCCAGCATCAGCGCTGCCTCACTGTGTCCTTCCAGCAAGCTCAGGCAGTGGCGGCAAGTGGTACAGGAAGAACTTGGAGGTCTGGCCCTCAAGCCTGTGCTGGCCTTGCTGCCTGCCCACTCCCAGCCTGCCTCCTTTCCTGGGACGGTGCCTTAGCAAAGGTCCAGAAGATTCTTCTGGCCCTCCAGAAGCCTGACCAACCAGACTACTCTTCAGGCAAAATTTCCACCTTGTGATGTCCTATTTGTCCCCAAGCCTCCTCCTGCCACAAGCAGGAAGGTTGTCTTTAAATTCCCTAGTGACCTCTGTTTTATTTTCTTGCCATGGGGCCTTGGGCAAGTCATTGAATGTCTCTGAGCCTCTGCTTCCTGGTCTATAAAGGAGGATGGTGACAACCTCTGCCCAGGCCATGAGGAGGGTGCAGGGCACGAATGTGGTCATCTGGCACATGGGAATGGCTTAGCTGCTGGGAATGCTTCCTCTGTGCCAGTCCTGGCTCGCTCTCAGGCAGGGAGAGCACTTTCCTCTCCAACTGGCACCCTCAGGACTCTCTCGGGGCCAGTTTCAGAGCACGATTAGAAAACATTCCACAAAGGTGGGCAGGGCACTCACACTTCTTCATGCCTTGCCTGCTGTTTCTTTCTTAAGGCCAATTAAGGAAACTTCGGTGCTCCCTACACATGGAAATATCAAGGAATGGCAAAGGTTTGCACACAATGTGCTTGGGGAGTGCTAACAAACATGACAGGCCACAGACGTTGGGAGCTGGGAGGCTTCCCTTCCCCTGCTGTGCTGTAGTTTCCTGGGAGGCCAGCAGAGGCCCTAAACATGCTGGTATCAGAATCTCTGGGGTGGCACCTGGAACCCTGTATTCCCACGGCCTCAGCCCTGCCTGTGGAAACTACACTGCTATTAGCCTCCTGTGAGGCTCCTTGGCTAGTCACTCCTGCAGGGACTCCACCATGAGGGCTGCAATTCCTTGCAGTGGGTACTGTTCTTTCCTCAGGTCCCCCTTTTATTTCCTCTTAATTTTTAATCTTATTTTTATTAATTTTTTTAGAGATAGGGTCTCACTCTGTTGCCCAGGCTGGAGTGCAGTGGCAGTGAGTCATAACTCACTGCAGCCTGGAACTCCTGGGCTCAAGTGATCCTCCAGCCTCAGCCTCCTGAGCAGCTGGGACTACAGGCGTGCACCACCATGCCCAGCTAATTTTTGTTATTTTTTGTAGAAACGGGAGTCTCACTATGTTGCCCAGGGTGGTCTCCAACTCCTGGCCTCAAGTGTATCTCCTGCCTCAGCTTCCCAAAGTACTAGGATTACAGGCTTGAGCCCCACTGTTCCCAGCCCCTAGGTTTCATTTTTTAAATGTCAGTTGCCTTGGCAGGCAAATGTCATGTACCCAGAGTCCCCGACACTTAAGAGATTCTGAGTCAGAAGTGCCCGGGTACAGGGATGAGTGGCTGCAACTGCTGAGGTAGAGGGAGACAGAAAATAAAGCTTACCAGAGCTGAGGGGAAGGACACAGAAGCCTTGAGAGCGAGCCCTGGCAGCATGCCCGGGGTGACAGCTGGGCCTGCTGGTCATTCAGTCGGTCAGTGAACAGCCATTGACTAGACACCTCTATCACATGCCAAACGCCACCAGGCACCGAGGGCACAAGACACAGACCCTGTGCTGGAGAAGCTCAGCGTAGAGGAAGGGCCCTGTGCTATGTGGGGTTACGGCGGCAGCAGGGAGAAGAGGTGCCTCCCTGTCTGGGAGGGGGCACTGCCATCAGGGAAGGCTACTCAGCAGAGCAGGCATCTGGGACTCTAAGGACGAGGAGAAGCCAGGTGGGTGTGGGTGTGGGTGAGGACCAGGCAGAGGGTCTGGTGTGTTAAGGTGCCTGGGGGCTTCTGAGAGAGAAAAGGACTTTCCTCTGGCTGCATGAGCAGGACCTGGGGGAGGAAGGGGAGGCTGAGGCTGGAGAGGTGAGTGGGGTGACACCCACAGAGGCTGATGTGCATGTAAGGAGCTGGAGCCACATGACAAAGGAGGGCTGACAGACCACTGGAACAGGGAAGGCTCGGAGCAGTGGGGTTCCACGGGAAGGGACTCTCTCTTGAGGCAGCCAGATTCTTACACTAACTATGTTAACCTGTCCTCTTTGGGCCTCAGTTTGTCCATCTATAACACGAGAGGGTTGGGTCCATGTCCCCACAAAGCCTTCTCTGTTTTGTACTCACAGGTCACTCTGGCCAGTGAGGGCCAAGAGCTCTAAACTGGGGTGACACAGTGAAAGGCAGGGTTGTGACCTGACAGCTGCGCTACGAGAAGCAATGTGACAGACACAGGCCGTGGAGCTGTGGGAGCAGGAGAAAAGGCCTTAGCCAGTGCAGGGTCAGGGAAGGCTTCCCAGAGGAAGGTCCCAGGCTGACCAAGAACTTGAGCCAAGCAGGGCCCTCTGGGAGAATGGAGGGAGGGTAGGGGGGGGCGTAGAAGTGTCTTGGGTAACACTGGGGTGGCAGATGCTACGTTTCCTCTAGTCATTCGTTCAGTTTGTGGTTACCAAGTACCTGCTGTGTGCCAGACAGAAGGCCTCTGTTCTCCTGGAGCTCATATTTAAACAAATGAGACCCTGTCAGAGAGTGATGAGGTCACGTGCCCGGGAAGGGATGGTGTAACAGACAGGGAAAGCCCCTCCCAGTGCCTGGTATCTGAGCTTGGGCCTGAGTGTGAGGAGGTGGCAGCCACAGCACTGGGTGGGGAACATTCTACACGGAGGGAGCAGCGAGACAAAGGACCTCAAGGGGAAGGACGGTGCCTTCACTGAGAGTCAGACACGCAGGTGTGGTGAAGGGAAAATGGCATCAGGGCCCTGGCTCACAGCAGGACTGCTGTAGGCACTGTGACAAGTCTGGGTGCACTGAGGGTGGTGTCCCTGGGGGGTATTTTGGCAGAAGCATGACGGGACGGGACAGGACAGTTTACAGGAATCCTCAGGCTGCTGCACAGAGCAGGACAGAGGGGTGCAGGGAGCCAGGAACGAGGGCACTGCAGCCAGCCGGGTGTGGCTGTGGGATGGAAAGAAGTGGAGGGACCTGGGATGTATCTTAGAGGAGAACTGACAGGACTTTCAGAAGGACTGTGGGGGTGGGGCAGAGCCCAGGATGCCTGGCCAAAGAGTCCCTGGGGCCTGAGACGCTGGCACCCTCCCACCTAGAGATTGGCTGGACTCTCTGCCACTGCCCCTGGGACAGGCCTGATTTAAATGCAGTTTCTTCCCTGAGAAACTGTGAGCAGTCTAGACTTGGAAGCCAGCCTGGAGCCTGGCAGAGAGTATGGAGGACCTGCTGGCTCTGACCTGTACCCTCCAGTGCCAGCTCGCTCATGTCTCCAGCCAGCTTCCTCACGCTCACAGCCTCCGAGTCTCCCTGGATGTCAGGGACAGCGTTCCGACGGCCCGTCCGGTCACAGGAGATGAAGTCCGAGTAGGAGGACTCGACCTCCATCATGCCTGTCGCATCGCTCCTCAGGCCTGTGGGGTGGGGAAAGCAGCAGAGGTGAGTGCAGGTGTATCTTGCAGAGGAGACTCAGCTGCAGTTCCCAGCACTGATGTTTTCTGACAAAATGATAGTTATTGTCTTTCTCATTGAAAACAAGTACAAAGTATGAAGTAAGTCACTCGTAATTCCACATCTAGACAACCACCATCAACATTTTGAAGAACGTGGGTCCAGACTTTTAAATAAAGTTATTGATAAACACATACGCACTTATCAATATCATGTGCCTGGCACTGGCGAGGTGCCGTAGATGCAGCAGTGAACAAGTCGCCATGGTCCCTGCCCTCACAGAGCTTACCATCTACAGGAGGTGGCATAAAGTCACCTAGCACCTAAGTCATGACCTTGGTGCTCAGGGATTCAAGGGAGGGTGCCGGAGTGACCACAAGGACCTGATCAAGGCTGGGTCAGGAAGGGACATTTTAGCTGAGTTCCGAGGAGGAACAGGCATCATCTAGCTGCAGAGTGAGGGGAACAGTGCGTCTGAAGGCTCTGGGGCGGGGGGGAGGCGAGGTGGGACGAAGAACACAAAGGGCCAGCAGGCTGGAGCATGGCGGGAGAAGGGCACTGCTGAGGTGAGTAGGGGCCAGACCACATTTCAGACTTGGTCCCTGAGCGTCAGGAACAATCAGCTGTCCATCTTCAAAGATGACTCTGGTGTCTGGGTGGGGCAGGGCTGGGAAGAGGGCAAGAGGCTCCCACAGAAGTTCAGGTGCAAAGATGGTGAGTGGAGGAAGGCAGTGGTGGTGGTGGGACAGATTCCAGATGTAATTTGGAGAAAAAAATCAACAGGACTCAGTGTTTGATGGATGGGAAATTCAGGTTTCTGATGTGGGTAAGTAGGTGGACAGATGTAGTTTACTGAGATGAGCAATAACAGGAATATTTGGGGAGTGAAATGGGGTGGAAATTAAGAGTCCTTTTGGTGCCACGTTAACTTTGAGATGCCTGTGAGCCCTCCAAGGGGTGAGATAGAGTAGTACATGGAGCTAGGAGACTGGGGCTCAAATGAGGGGTGGGAAAGATATGAAATTGGGAGTTCTTACTACACAGATGGTAGGTAACAGCCCTGGTGGTTGACAGTACAGCCTAGAGAGAGAAGAAAACCACACATATATAGAAGAGCCACATAAAATTAGAATTGATTTGGGATCATACCATACGTTGTATTGTATAGCCTACTCTTCAGAACACTTAAGAGCATGTTGTTAAGGCTCCCTCCTCCTAGTTCTTGTACCTGCACACTTGGACATGCCAGGATACACTAGGATCAGTCCCCTAGAAATGAACACGGAGGGACTTTCCAATTTTCCACACCTGTAAACAATACTGTTTTTCTGTAAATCTTTGTGCCCACCTGTAATCATTAATGTTTCCTTAGAGCATATTCTTAAAAGTAGAGTTGCTGAGCTAAAGGGAAGAGTGAAATAATGTTTAGACTTCTGACACATTTCCAAGTTGCCTTCCCAAGTGGCATAGTAGTATTTATAATAAAAATTGGGAGAAAAAACCTTATCAAATCAGTACTGTTCCTATTTATATTCCCACCAGCAGCACACAAGATTGCCCTTTTATCTGTACCCTTGCCAACAAGAAGTACTGTTACTATAGTCATAAAAGGTTAATTTGCTAGGGGGATATTAGTATCTCTATTGAGCACCTATGGTTTTCTGAAGGAAACTGAATCACAGTCATTGCATGGACTCTGGCTACCTGGCAGACTGAGTTAGGAAGGGGTGTGGGGTCTAAACACTGGCCTGACTTTAGGGGTTCACAGTCCAGTGGGGTGGGCCTAGAAAATCCCAGTTCTAGACACACTCAGGCAAATTCCCCATGTTCTCTAAATTGTGAGGATGTTCACTGCATGTGGTCAGTAATGGCAACCTATAAGAAACCACCCAAATGTCCACCAGGAGGCCAGGCATTATGAGAATTATGAAGTATTCACTAAAAATATGTGCACTACAAGCCACTGTGGAAAACAGCATAAAGGTTCTTCAAAAAATTAAAAACAGAACTACCATATGATCCAATAAGCCCACTACTGGGTATATGTCCAAAGGAGATGAAATCACTATATCAGAGAGATATCTGTCCTACTATGTTTACTGCAGCACTAATTACAATAGCCAAAGTCTTGGCTATTGTATCAACTCAAGTGTCCAACAATGGATAAAGAAAATGTGTATACACACAAGGGAATATGATTTAGCCATTAAAAGGAATGAAATCCTATCATTTGTGACAACATGGATGGACTTGAAGGACATTATGTTAAGTGAAATAAGCCAGACACAGACAAATACTGTGTGATATCACTTATATATGGTATCTAAAAGAAAGAAAATTGATACCATAGAGGTGGAGAATAGAATAGTGGTTACCAGAGACTGGGGAGGGAGGAAAGAGGAAGGAGAGGTTAGTCAATGTGTACAAAGTTACAATTAGGCAGGAGGAATAAGTTTAGTCCTGTGGCACTATAGGGCAGTGATAGTTAACAGAAAGGCATTGTATGTTACAAAATAGCTAGAAGAGAGGCTTTTGAATGTTCTTACTACAAAGAAATGATAAATGCATGAGGTAATGGATATACTAACTACCCTGATTTGAATATTATATAACATATATATCAAAAAATCAAATCGGCAGCCCAGTGTGGTGGCTCATACCTATAATCCTAGCACTCTGGGAGGCTGAGGCACAAGGATCACTTGAGCTCAGGAGTTTTGAGACCAGCCTGAGCAAGAGTCAGATCTTGTCTCTACTAAAAATAGATAAAATTGGCAAGCTATGGTGGCTCGTACCTGTAGTCTCAGCTACTCAGGAGGCTGAGACAGAAGGATCACTTTGAGCTCATGAGTTTCAGGTTGCAGTGAGCTACAATGAAGCCACTGCACACTAGTAGGGCTACAGAGTAAGACTCTTGTCTCAAATTAAAAAAAAAAATGTACCCTATAAATATTAATACATACAATTACAATGTGTTAGTAAAAACATAAATAAACAAAATGAAATGTGCCAGATAGACCTGTACTGACACAGCAAGATGTCTGAGATGAAACCGTCAATAGAAAAATATGAGTTGCAAAACAACACCTGAAATAAAACCCAGTTTCTGTGGGGAAAGATAGCAGACATATGAAAAACAAATCTGAAAAAACACATATCAACTTTGTCAACTGTGGTTCTTTGTGATTAAGGGAAACTTCTGTTTTCTAAGTTTATATTTTTGTAATGGTTGAAGTTTTTATAAACCCAAGTTATCATGTAATGCTTTTAGAAGGTAACTGACATTGGCAGGAAGTGCCCAGAAAGCACCCAGGGTGGGGTTTAGTAAGTGCCATTGTGTGTGTGTGTGTGTGTGTGTGTGTGTGTGTGTGTGAGAGAGAGAGAGAGAGAGAGAGAGACAGACAGACAGACAGACAGACAGACAGACAGAGAGACAGATACAAAGGAGGGATAATCAGCATAGGGGCTGGGTCCAGAGTTGCCCACAACACCTAGCTCAGAAGAGACACTTTAAAGAATGAATTAGGGGCAATCAAAGATCAGACAGATGAGACAGGCAGATGTCCTGCAGTAGAAAGAGCAAATAATGAGACATGTGACCTTAAACCCAAATTCTGCCACTGGACCCTGAGCAAGACCCTGCCTTTCTTGGGCCTCTGTTTCCCCATGTGTAAAAACAAAGGCGGGGCCAGAATACTGTCCCAGGTAGTTCCTCCTGGCTCCAGCAGATGGCGCGCCCTGCTCAGCTTTCTCAGCTGCCTGGAGACACTGCCCCAGTCCTGCTCTGGCCCCTCAGCCAAACCAATTCCCAGAAGTTCCAGAGCTGGTTCCTTCTGCAGACCGGAGTTTCACTCCTGCCCTCTTCTCTGGAGAAACTGCCCAAAGCTTCACAACAGGGAATGGCCTGTTATAACAATAGTAATAACAATTATGACTACAATTCTAACAGTAACAATAACTAACATTTACCAGGTGCTTGTGTGTTTTACATACATCACTTAATGGCCACATCAGCCCTCTGGGGGAAGTGAGGGAGTTTATAACCATGACTCAGAAAGGTCTCGGCTCACTTTCCACAGCACACCTGCTGCCTCTGGGAAGGGACAAACCCTGAGCAGGCCACACCATCTCCCAGAGCCTCATCTCCTCAGCAATTTTCCTCCTATTAGAACGTCAGCTCCATGAGAACAGGGATTTCCATCTGGATTGTCACCATGCCAGACTGCAACCTAATCCTGGCAGCTGAGCCTACATGCTCTGCCTGCTCCATTCCCTGATTCTCAACCAGCACCCAGCAAAGAGTAGGCACTCCATAAATGCTCCCTGAATTTCATTTTCATACCCTGCTGATGAGAATGAATTTGTATCTACCTTCTCTCTCCCCCCTCCCTTTCACTGTCTCTCCCCTACTCCCTACCTATCTGTGGGGATGACAGGCAGGAGGGCTGTGCTGCTATTCTTGACTGGTATCTCTAGGATCTGACACCATGGGATGGAGTTACAGGCTCCATCCAAGAGGCTAGCTTCCTGCTGGAACAGACTCCTGGGGCTGGGACCTCGCCCTTGCCCTATCTGACCTTACAAGCTGCCCAATGTAGGAAGCTGACCCTCGTGGCACAGAGAGAACTGTGCCATGCTCAAAGCCCAATCCTGGAAAACATCAACTGAGCCAATGTGCTCCCTCAGGGAACGGCGATTACAAACGGGGTCTGGGGAACTCTCTGATCCAAAGCATAAATATGTAATTTCATTTTTCTTCCACATTTGTATTCTTTGCTCACCCTCTGCTCTTTAAAGTCAACAGCAAATGGGTAAACAAAAGAAAAGAATCCTTAGATGTCAGGAAATGGTCATTATCAGGCCAGGTGCAGTGGCTCACACTTGTAATCCCAGCACTCTGGGAGGCTGAGACAGGAGGATTGCTTGTGGTCAGGAGTTCGAGATCTGCCTGACCAAGAATGAG